CTATCATGAATTCTGCTTCAAAGGCACTCCATACATATCGGTGAATAAGTGTTCAAACTCAGAAGAAGTCTAAAAACTATTTAAAGTTAGGTGCAGTAGTGCAGGGCTGTAGTCACAGCTAACTTGGGAGGTTGATACGGGAGGATTGCTTGAGGTCAGACTGGGCAAAGAGAAAGATTCCATCGCAAAAAAGTAACAAGACAAACCAACAAATAAATGTGGTTCACAATGTTCACATGGCTGGAATACAATTTAGTTTTCTTGGGTGTCTATATCAGATCTATGAGGACCACGAGTCAGGGAATTGATTTGGATAGAGGCTTTCAACATTCTCAAAAGCAAACTTCTCTAAAACCCCACATAAATGGTGTAAATTCCAATGTTTTGTTCCTAAAATTAATTTGTCCTTGAAAAGAAAGCCATCATCAGCTGTATACATTTACTTTCAGAAGGCCTACGCTGCAGTTTTGCTCCCTCCAGTTTCTTAGAATAATAATTTGAGTAACTCAGTGTTGGAAAACCTCAAAATTTTCTTTTGAAAGATGGAGCTAAAACCACTATGTTCTGCTTTCTCATAAGATGCTTCTGAGAATACAATGCAAGTCTTTATGTTAGAATGTCTTGTATACTGTCAAGTATTATGATTGTCAGAGAGCATTTACTAGGTTTTCATTAACTTCATTAGAGTCAGCCAGGGTCTCCTCTCACTCCGAAAGCTAAATGACCTCATTTTCACAAAATATCTGTTGATGATGATGATGATAAGAGCAGCTACAATTTCTATAGTACTTATAATGGATCAGGAACTAATAATTGCCTTAAATATATTAATCTATTAATTAAAATAATCCAATCATGTCAGTACTATTAATGTCTCCATTTAAAATGAGTAGACCAAAGCACAGAAAGATGAAGTGATTTGCCAAATGATACATAATCAGTAAGTGGAAGCTGGAGTTTTGAACCCAGATGTTTGATTTCCAAAATTATTGCATAAGCTTGTATAGAAAGAAACATGAGACAATGGGTTTTAAAAAGGTTAGAGAGGACATGACTGGATTTCCCATGCCGGTTCATAGTTAAATAATTGGTTGAAGATGTAACACATCTGAATAGCAGAGAAAAACAAAAGCAAAAATAAAAATGAGAGCACTAAGTGAGCCTTTACTCCATAGGAGTAAAGAAGCAAGTGAAGTTTGAGTTAGTTATGGAGTACAAGGTGTAATTGAAAGAGAAGTAGCTCATATTGGAAGAAGTGAAACCTTGAAGAAAGTCTGATGCCTTACTAACTGCTGGGTAAGGACAAGAAAATGCACAGCCTTGGTCAAGATTTGAATATGAAGCTCTAATTAAAAAAATAAATACAGGCAGAAAGCATAAGTAAAAAATATATATTTTTGAATGCATATATTATGCCTCTACTGTGATGTGCCAGCACGTCAAAAACAACAGCATTTTTTGTTTTAACTTAAAAAAAAACTTCTGTTCAGAATGGTTTTATTTCATTTAGCAATGAAATAACTGAAATTCCACATGGTTAAATGATATTGTAAGGTCACGTGTATGTATGGCAAACATAGAACCACATTTGAATTTGAGAGACTGTCTCTGTCACCATTCTTTAGTATCCTGGTCATGGACTGCGGGGGGAGGTGCCAGTATTTGCAAACCTTGGGAGGGGAACACTAGGATATCCTAAGGCATGTGCTCAAGAGATAACACAGCAAGTCCTGGGAGGGGCTAAAAGTTTGGGCCTCTTGTCTCATGGATCAGATAGCAGTCCTACCTCAGCCCTCCAACCCTGCAGGCACAGAGAGATTCTTGCTCTGAGTTAGAGAAGAGCCAGTCACCGATTAAAAACAATTTTTCTGATTTTAAACTTTTAGCCTAGAGACTTGGGTTCCAGGAGAACACCCTGATTTCCCTTCTTTCTTTAGCATGTTACCAACATAGAAACCTTCCTTTCGGCTTTTCTCTGATCCTCCTCTCTCTGGCTCTCCCTTTTTAGTCTTCCATACTTCCTTTACTCATTTTCTTTTCCCTCTGTTCCCTTGATCTTTTAACTTCTCACTTAAGGCTTGCTGTATTCTTTTCACACACTGTTTCTTGTCTTGCCCATCTGGGTTCACCTCCAAGTCATCCAATCCTCAGCACAAAGCTGGATGAGTAAGCAAGACCCTTAGGAGCTTTTTTATTAACAACCTGTAAGCATGCTGATTGTTTGGCTGCTCCACGGGGTGATTCGTTGATTCTAAGTCTCCCACCAACCAGTACCTAGCAGTACTTCCATCTGTATGTCTCAAAGTGCTGGTGATGATACTGAGCCTCCCCTCTCTATGTCTCCCAGGTCACAATCAGACCCTTTAGAACCATAGAGGCAGGAAGAAATTTTCTTGGAATGATTAGAGACATAAACTTCATCCTGCCATCAAGCCTGCATATACTGAGCATATATAATGAGCTAGAGAATGGGTTCAAGTGGAGACAATGCCTGGGTTATAACCTCTGTCCTCAAATGGTTATATCAAAAGATAAAAGAAAGCACAGTATAATTTAAGTGTATTAAGTTAGGTGTGTTTCCCATCACACACATTAGGTGTGTTTCACATTCCAGGGCCTTCACACTCCTGGATGGTGTAAAGGCAGTAGTCAGAGTAATACCCAGAGCCCTGTCATGGCAACCAGATGCTACATGTATCTTGCTATTGTTTTTGTTGTGAATATATTTTATGGAAAATCTTCAAGGTAGTACAGCCATGTCCACTCATGTGCATGGAAGAAGGAACAGTTATTGACTGGTAGCTCAGAATACATTGGGTTACTGTCTCTCTGTCTAAATACACCTCTTTACAATGTTGTCTACCACATGCTTGGTCTAATCCCTCCTCCCATATTAGGTTACTTATTGGCAGACTGGGACTAGCCCAACATTATGATGCCTTTAGCACCACTGTATGTTCTAATGGTTTCTACAGCTAGCAGACATTAAAAGCACTTAATAACACTGCTCGTACATTTGGTTTGTCTCTATATTATCCCCAATTCAGTTGTTTCTGTGAAGCTTTAGTTCAGTGATCAAGGGTAAGGAAGCACTGGACCTGTTGCTGAGTGGCCATCAGCCCTTTAGTTTCATTATGTGCTTCCAAGGAGTCATGACATAATAAAGACCTTATTTTAAGCATAGTTGCTAGCCCTGTGCTCTAAATGTCTACAGAATACTTATCCGATTTAAAAATATATTGGCAGCTGCAGTAAGCCACCATTTGAATTCAAGGTTATTATGAGCATCATTATTAACAGTTTTATTGAGGATCTCTTATCTGTGTGACATTCAGTGAGCTGCTGTGATAAGAATGAGAAGAGGCAGTCTTAAGAATATCCTTCTAGTTTCCCATTCTGTTCTCTCTCTCGCTCTCTCTCCAACTTTTCTTCTTTAGTTTCCAGCAGCTCTTAGGAACACATGAAGGTCACAAAGATTTAAAATATTACATTAAAAATCAACATTTTATACAACTGTATTAAGATGGAAATTCACTAATGGAAACTTAGAAAAGTTGAAGAAGTTATACTGTGAGGTTGGCTTCAGCATACCCAGAATACCTGCTCAGGAAGGAACAGGATGACCCTGTACAAAAGGGGCTTTGATCATTCACTTTAAGGAGTCTCCTGGCATATACTGAATCCACAAACAGCTATAAGGTTGCCTCAGAGTACACAAAAACAGACATCTGGAGAGATACAAGATAATTTTGTGAGAAAAAAATACAGACAGAAATATCACTCACTCTTAGTTCATTCTTTCCTTTAATAAAGATATTTTAAGCTCCTACTCAAGTCAAGGCATTGTGACTGGAGCTTGCATACAGGTTTCATAGTCCAGTAAGGAGATTGACAAGTGGGAATTACAAATATGGTAGGTGTTTCTAACCCAAAAGACATGCCAATCTCATGGGCCTGTCACCTAAATGATACATCACATAGCTCCTAAACTGTACCAGAGTATTGTCATGGTCCCATGCTCATACATCTGGTTAGTCTCTGTATTATCCCAAATTCCATTGTTTCTTTGAAGCCTTATTTCAGTGATCAAGGGTAAGGAAGTCTTTAGAGGTCAAAAGCTCATCTAACTATGTCTGTACAAAACATAAAGTTTGTCAAACCTTATACAAATAATTTCTCCTCAGGTGGGCCCTTGTTGAGCCCTGGCAATTTTGTTATTTTCTCACGATTGAGGTACATTTTTCTATATTGAATGTATAACCCACCTTACTGCTGCCACAGAGAATGATATCTTACCTTGTTCAGAGGTCCTCCTCACCTGATACATGGGTGAAACTTCTCTCTATAATTTTTCTTGAAATCTGTTCCCCAACTCAAGCATTCTTTCACCAAGATTCATAATAAAGCATCTTCTTTAGGAGCAGGAATTGATTTACATCTTCATTTTAATTGCAGTTTATCAAAATCATAACTAAGCAGATTTCTCAGATACTTTCAAGAGTCATCATCTTGAATCAAGGGCAGGGTAAATTTCATTTCTATACTTAGTGCAGTTTTATAGAAGCAGGAGCCAGTCCCATACGAGAAAATAAATGCATGTATGTCTGAGGTCAAGAATATCTTATTCCAAGTTATATAAGGGCCAATACTTACAGACTATATGAAAAATAATGAGCTTTAACTCAAGCACTTATGACCCATACCATAAACCTGAGAACCATATATATGTATATACAACATATACTAGGTGTTAGCCATAGGCTCACAAAGCAGTGAGTTAAGTTACCTGGGGTAAACAGTTAATATCAGCTGGGCACATGAGATATATGGTTAGTATTATATCACATACAATTAGCAATACATGGGCAGGGCAATATAATGTTCTAAGTGGCAGAAAGTTGGTTGCCTTTGAAATGCTTTTTTCCCAGTTAATTTTGCCACCAAAGCTGTCAACTTGTTCAGATTTCCTGAATTATTTCTCAGAAACAAGTGAGCTAATGTCAGGCTCTACTGTGAGGCAGAGAAAATAAACGAAGTACACTATGTCGGATCTGTTTAGTTTTAATGCTATAGATGACAGGGTTCATAAAAGGGGGGAAAAGAAAGTAGATGTAACTCATTGTGATGTGAACCACATGAGGAACATGCTTTCCAAACCTATGAATAAATGTCAGGCCGACTACTGTGACATAGAAGACCAGGATACAGCAGATGTGGGAGACACAAGTGTTGAGAGCCTTGGCCCTTTCTTCCCCAGAAGCAATGCCAGTGACAGTCTTGAGAATCACAATGTAGGAGAAAAAAATAATGAGAAAGTCCAAAAGGACCATTGCAAATACAACCACAACTGGATAGAGACGATTGAAGGTGATGTCAGTACAGGCTAACTTGATGACATCTTGGTGCAGACAGAAAGCATGAGAGAGTATATGGGATCGACAATAGGGAACCCAGTGCAGGCGAATAATTATTGGCATAATTGACAGACCAGCTCTTGTCAATACCCCCACTCCAATCTTTATTACCTGGGTGTTGGTAAGGATGGAAGTATATCTTAATGGGGTGCAGATGGCAATGAAACGGTCATAGGCCATGGCAAGCAAGACACCTGACTCCACGATAGAAAGAGTATGGATAAAGTAGGCCTGAGAGAAGCAGGCCCCATGGCCAATCTCTCTGTGATTTAACCATAACACTCCTAACACTGTGGGCATTGTGGTCAATGTCACTCCAAGGTCTGTAGCTGCCAACATAGCTAAGAAATAATACATGGGCTCATGGAGGTTATGGTCATCCCTAATGAGAAAGAGAAGGGTGCCATTGCCAAGAAGTATGGAGACGTAGACCACCAATAAAGGAATGGAGATCCAGGGATGTGTCTTCTCCATGCCTGGGAAGCCAGTAAGCAGGAAGGGGGAATCAGTGGTATTGAGCCACATTGCTTGCCTTACAAAGAGGAAAATACTTCAGGTAATGCAATAGAAACCAGTTATTTAGAAGTCGCCCTTTGAGAATGTTACTTGTTCATTAGGTGATCACCAGTCTTGACTTCCAGCGACAGCAAGAATGGTAATTTAGTCTTTCCTAGGCATAGGAAAATAGAATGTAAGAAGAACAGCTCTACATATCATTCAAGGTTTACTATACGTAAGGTTATTGGAGAATACACTGGAGTTACAACAATGTATGCAGAACAGATCTTGTTAATGTTCTTGTAAATCATGTCACCTAGGAAATAAAGACAAAATGAAAGAAAAAGTCATTATATTTGAACAGTGCTATAATAACTTGGAACTTACAAAGCAATTTTTATGGTGTTCTTCATCTTGACTGGTGGTATTGAGGGTGAATGTAAAGGTTTCACAGAGTATGCGAGACCTAAAAAATCAGTCAGTAGAAAAACAGTTTTAAGCACTGTTGGAAGAGCAGATATGAACATCTTATGAAAAAACAAAAAATACTTGTGCAAAATTTTTTATGTAATGAATGCAGGGTTGTTTTTTTATTTACATAGATGTATTGTATAGTGAAGTATGGTTGTTTAGTGTGACCATCACCTTAGTAATGTACACTGTACCCATTAAGTAATTTCTTATCCTTCATCTTCTCCCACTTGTTCATCTTTCTGAATCTTCAAGTCTATGAAGATTCACTCTATGTCCATGTGTACATATTATTTAGTTCCCACTCATAAGTGAGAACATATGGTATTTGACTTTTTGTTTCTGATTTGCTTCACTTCAGATAATAAAATAAAGTAGGCTCAGCTAATTTCAAGGATTGACTTTAATATAACTGGAGGAAAAATTCAGTTGCTAAAACTTTAGAGACTTTTGGGAGACTACAACATGACATAAGATTGACTCATGTGTATGCTTTCAAAACACAAACTTCTATATTGTCAAGCATTGTCATCCTAGTTATTGGTACATTACTTCAAAAATTTCAAAGTTTCTTATTATATCTTTTAAAATGAGTAATAAGAGGTAGATTTCATGATAGGTATTTGAGGACATTATTTGATAACAGCATCAGATAAACTACTGTGGTTATCACCATTTGGAGATGCAAAGATAAAAAATCAGTTATTTAGGCAAGCTCAAGTAGACTATTTTTTTCAAGCTGTTTAGTCTGTTGGGATTTATCAAAAATAAAAAGGCTATGTGACTTAGAATTATAAGGTATCAGCTGGTGTAGGCTGCTAACCTCTGAGAATAAATAAAGTGTGTGCTAGTGGTATTAGTCAGAGAAAACGGAGCCACCTTCTATTATTGTTGATGTGGACTGTATATCTCACATGCAATGTAAAGAAAATATTGGTGTGAATTTACGCATGACTTACAGGACCTCTTTCTGCACATGAAAACATTACTCTGAGATTACTGGACTTTTATTTTCAGAAGAATTTTATTGAGCTTTTAGCTCTACTGTTTGCTAGCAATAGTGATCTCGGGAACTTTACTTAATCTTGAGATTTGGTTTCATCATCTGAAAGTGGTACTAGTGATTTCAGCCTTGTTCAGTTATGCTCTTGACACAAGTTATGAAAATAGAATAGAATTGTCAGTGGAGAAATGTTTTGTAGGGAGTAAATCATTCTTCACTCATTTTGAGTTTTCGTTATTGTTCCGGAAAAGAGTCTCCTTGATATCTGGTGAGTGCACATCAGGATTATTCACCCCAAGATGTGTCAAATGATCCAATATTCTTAGGAAGTTTTAAGAACAGATATAAGATAATTATAAGGCTTGAGAAGGTTGTATCTGACCATAAATGAAAATATTTAATTAGAGTTTATTTAAGCAGCAGATATAAGGTGATATGGCTGGGGGGCAAAAGGAAAGAAGATGAGAGTGATGAATCAGTGTGGGAACTTAAAACATAGCTTAAGAAGACATGAAGTCTGGAGAACTGGGACTGGGAGGGATTGGGGTACAGCAACTCTGTTATCAAAAAGTGAGAAAAGGAGGCCTAGCTAAATCCTACTTGTCAGTGAAAGGCTCAGAAAATACTCAGCTTAAATGGGGTTAAAGAAACAGGAGTGCCAAATGAAAATTATATACATTTAAAGCATACAATATATTTTTTGAGATAAAATACATTGTGAAATGATTGCCACAATAAAGTGAATTAGCATATTCTTCACTTCACAGTGTCAATTTTAGTTTTGTTGTGCTACTCTCTTAGCAAATTTCAAGTGTGACTTGATAACACTGGAGAAAAAATGATAACAAAGAAAATTAGTCTAAGTAATTGTGTCATTTTAATACTAAGTAAACATATAGCAGATAAATAAATAGATAAAAATAAATAGGGGTGGGGAAACTCCCAGTCAGGGTAGATAAAGCTGAGAAGCAAACTCAAGGAAAAAATAATTGTTGTTTCCATCATGCGTCAATTACATTGTATGGACATCTTTTTTTTTTGTAGAATCTTCACAATAACCATTTTCTCCATTTAAAATATGCATATTGGTTATGAATGTCCAACATGATTCATTAATTAAATGTCATAATCTCTTTTGTCTATTGTGGATTAGGAAGACCTCTGGCATGAGTAAAATCTTTGTAATACAAAGGAGTATGGTAAAGCTTGCTTTCTCTCTTCTGTTTTCATAATGAAAAATTGAGTGCTTTGCTTGATTTACTCAGAACTTCTTTTGTAATACATGAGATTGTCTATGCATTCTGGAGGGGTTACAAATCTAAGACTTTTACTTCATCCCTGCAGCTACTCATGCTCTCCCAGGGTCTCTGTCTTAGAGTTGATTTGAATTTTCATTAATGCGATTATTTTCCAAGGTCTCAAACTCTGCCACATAAACTGAGGCTTTTTGCAAATACTCCAGAGAGAGCCCACTTAGACTTTTACCTTTCACATATCCTCTCACTTATTGATGAACTCTTTTCCTTCACTGTTCCTGACATTCTTCTTTGTCTCAAGCACTTAGTCTCTCTCTCCTCCATTTTTATTTCCTAACTTTTGTCTCCTTTTTGGAGAGTTCAAATGTGTAATCTACCTTTCTGTTTATTTTATCTTCATGGCTTCACATAGCTTCCTTCTGAAGACTTAATTATTAGAACAGTGTCTAGAACATTATTTATGTTCTTTTTCGGACTCACTGACTGATTGATTTGCCTACACATACAAACTGATGGATTTTTGGACCACTTTACATCCTTGGTTTGAGAAACATCAAAGCACATAGATCGATTGGTATACCCTACCCAATAGCTGATTCACTATTAATTTTTGTGAATCAACTGTGAATCCCAACCTGTGAACTCGAAGCATTTTAAAAGGCTCTGAGAGTCATTATAAGAACCATGGAAAGAAAAACTTTACCCTATTATTAGTTTAGGAGGTATTGGATATCTGTTACTCAATCTGAAATTCTTCAAGTGCTGAAGATACATAGCCATGGGAGTCACTATCCCTGAACCAGAGGCATACATAGCTCAGACTCTACTCACACTTAATTTTGAATTGGTTTATCAATCTCATTGTCAGATAGTGACTTTATAGAGTGTTTGAACCTCTGATGATTACAGACTATACCTTTTCAATAATTTGGAATATATTCTATCCTTGGAGCTTATCAGGATGTGTAGAGAAAAAGACCATGGATGGAGTGGAAGGAGGGGAAGCAATCACAGGGTTATAATAGAAGTCAGAGATAATAAAAGATCAGACAGGAGGAGAGAAATAAGTACAACCATGTAATTCATGCTTGAGTCCACATCCATCCTCTGATTTTCTCCCATACTCTTCTTTGCTTCATGGGTTCCAGAATCAACCTTAACCTTATTTTATATACCTGAAGAGGTTGCCCTTGAAGAAATCAAGTTTTAGAGATGTTGGGGATTCTTTAAAAGCCATGCCCATTATTCAACTACTCTTGAAAGATAATATTAGTTTTCTCTTGCTGAGAAATCAGTTTCCTCTTTTTGTGCTATAGTATCTATACAGGTATCAGGACCTGGGACCTGCAGTGAGATCTCAGAGAGAAGATTCATTAAATACTATCACTGACCTGAAATTGTGTTCTCTCTCATTCTTCAGCTTAATAGTCATCAATCTAAACTCTTTAGTCTTGTGAAGAATTTGGTCCTAAAACCATCTTTTTAGAATCTGCACAAAATTCTGACTGAGAGGAGTATTTATTTTAGAAACTCTCTCTAGGGATCATTTCTGATTTAGACACTCATTGCTCTTCCCTCCCTCTCTCCTCCCTCCCTCCCACCCTTCCTGCTTTCCTCCCTCCCTTCTTTTCTCCTTCCATCTTTTCCTCTCTTATTTGACCCTCAGCTTTGGGTACGGGGCTTTGAACAGTAATCCCCAAGATCTCTTTCTGTATCATAGCTTTCACTTGGGTTCTATTGCTAAGGGAGTGATTTGTGTCTATCAGGTTGTGGGAAAAAAAGCACACCCACTTTGGAATCTGGCATGAAACCGAGTTCTTGGGGGAGCTCTTTTCTCTAGCAGCCTTTGAGAACTCCTAATTCCTATCCTTAAAATGAGGATTGTGTGAAAATTAAGAAGAGGGTATCCATTTTGATGAGGTAAAAGAACTTCCCCATCCCACACTTCTTGCCCTAGTGTTGATATCTGATGTGACTATAGCCATTGTGAACTCAGACTCCTGTCTCATAGAACTCACTTCCAGGAAAGGGGACTTACCATTTCTATTCCTTAATTTCCTTTTATCTTGTCTTCCATCTCCATGTTCTCCACAAGAAGACAAAACAAGGAGTCATTCTTAAGTTATAGAAAAAACAAAACATAATGCTAATGTTCTGGAGGTTAGGAGGGTCTTATTCTGAATATTGGAACTTAAATACTTTGTTTATATGGTAATTCTGGCTCTTGCTATGCCACTTTGGAAATGTTATTCAACTTTATCATACTTCATGATCTATGCCTCTGAAATGCATATAAT